GGGAATAGTCTGCCAAGCTGCTTCACTGAACAATAATAATGGACTGTTGGAGAGTCTTAAGTGAGAAATACTGTGAATATAGGAGGACTCGGGAAAGGCTTTCATTTTAGCAAGTGAGAAGAAAATTGACAGCTCTTTTCTCTTTGGCAACTTTAACCTTCTCTTCTGAATACTCTTGACGCTGACCTTTCTAAGTAGCGTTGGGGAAAGCATTTTAATGTATCTTAAACTTCCGAACTAAAATAGGATCCCTTTAGGATGAATAGGCAGATATATTTTCTTACCAAATAGATTGCCAATCCTATTTTCCAATCTTACTTTCCAACCTCAGATTTACTAGTATATATAGTTTCATTTAACAATACCTGTATAAAAGACCAAAAGGATATTATTTAGCTTTCTGAGTACGTACAGCGTTTGGTATGATGTACTTGGCCACCTGAATAAATATTTCATCACTAACTCAGAAAGTATATTTGCTCAGTGCTTTTTAATATCAGGTATTAATGTTTAATTCCACATCACAGCAGTTGAGTGGGGAAAGAAAATTTCCAAAACAAAACATCAGATATTTACACCTAAAATTCACATCACTTATTTGTTGATTCCAGAAACATGCTATCACAATATATACAACCAAATATCTTTAGGACTCTGGTACACTTTTTTTCCTTTGTTTGTTTTCCTTACAATTAATACAGGTTTTCTGAACATGAATACACAAAAAGAGAACCGGTTAGAGGGAGTGTGTGTGTGTGTGTGTGTTTAAATAAGATTGGCATAGGGTAAAAACACATTTACAGGGCAGAGTACCAGACATCACAATCTATACATTTTTTGCTCAATTTCCTGTACAAATACACAGCATTCATGTGAAATATCTACAGAAAACATAATACAGAGAAAATTAAGCAAATTATACTCCCTTTCTAAAGTTCCTGCAGCCTCATTATTCCTCATAATAGGAAATGACAGTCCCCACTGACAACAGTAAAATTAGGACCAGGGTGGGGTGGGGAGTCAAAATGAGTGTGGGGTATTTGCTGGGGAAGGTTTTTTTTGCCCCCCTATAATAACAAAATTTAATTATATACTCTTATTACTAATATATGATTGAATGAATTCTTCCCATTTTCCAACCACCAACGTCTGAACTTTTTCTTCCAGGCAAGGACATGAATAACGTATTTTAGAGCACTTTATACCTTTTTCAAGGCACCATGATTGTGCTATTTTTGTGTCCAAAAATATATAAAGGTTATTTTCCATCAGCTACCTGTGTCCAAAAAAAAAAAAGGATGCTTTTTACAGAAATGTTGGCTTTCAAAACCACCTTAATACACAAATTCCATGCAATAGTGCTTACTTGGTGATCTGAAAAATTAATAAGCAATTTTAGCAATACAGCATATGATATCTAATAAAGAGCCTGACTTCTACCCATATATTTTGTGATCTTCCAGCTCCAAATTATACAATGTTCAGTTTCACATTCACCTTTTAACTTATACTGGAAATCTGATTTTATATTTTGCACACACATATATACACAATGCCTCCTTAAAAAGCTATCACACATCTGCATGGACACGCACCAACATCATAAAAAGAAACTGGAAAATAATGGATCCCAAAAATCCTTATATCAAAATGTGCCTTTCTCCACAGAACTTGGTGATTATGATAATATAGAATGTACTTGGTGTTTGAAACCCTATTTAATATCTATGTGAAACTGCTGGGTGAGGTCATCCATTGGCACTGAGTCAAGTATCATCAGTATACTGATGATATTCAGTTTTACCTCTCTGCCCTGGGCCATCCAAGTGATGCTCTTGAGGTATTCTGCTAGTGTGTGGAGGCTGGGATGCTGGATAGGGAAGAACAGGGTTTTACTCAATCCTGACAAAATTAAGTGCCTGTGGCTTTTAAAGCCTCCTGAATCTAATGATCTTCCATTCTTAACTCTGGATGGAGTGACACTCCCCCAGTTGGTGTGCAGTCTGGGAGTCCTCCTCAACCTGTGGCTCCTGCTTGAGCAGATAGCAGCTATGGCCAAGAGGGTCTTTGTATAGAGCTATCTTACATGTCAGTTGTGCCAGTTCCTACATTGGGAAGCAGTGCCCTAATAACCTCCCAATTAGACTACTGCAATATGCTATATATGAGGCTGCCCTTGAAGAGCATTTGGAAGCGTCAACTGGTCCAGAATGCAGTGGCATGTGTAGTTCTGGATGCACCATAGTATGCTCATCTAACACTGCTGCTATGTGAACTTCACTGGCTCCCAGTAGGCTTCCAGGTGCAATTCAAGGTACTAGTTGTCATCTTTAAAAACCTACATGGCATATGGCCAGGTTACTTGCAGGACTACCAATCCCCACTAGAGCCAGAAGGGCGGACATGCTCCAGGTCCTCTCAGTGAAACAGTCACTAGGTGGATCGTAGGAAGTGTGCCTTCTCTGGTATGGCACCTGCCTTATGGAATAACCTCCCCCCCTGGACATTGGAATTGCCCAACCCTGTTTGCTTCTAGAAGTCTCTGAAGATCTGGCTTTTCCTTCAGGCACTCAGGCCACAATATGAATGGAGCCTGGCTTGTGTGTGGGGGAGGTGTTGGTAAAGTGTTTTTATAGTGGCCTTGACTTGGTTCTTTTAACTGATTTGTGTATTACGTTTTATCTTTTGTTTGTCACCCAGATAGCAAACAAAATGTTTGGTAGATGTGCAGCTATATAAACCTGTTAAATAAATTTTAAAAATTATATAATCTGTTAAAAAGAAATCTTCAGAACTATATAAAAAGAAAAAATATATATAGTTAACATCCAGAATTCAATCCTCTGAGCATCACTTACTATGGAACAAGACTCACTGAATCTAAACAACTATTTTAATTAAACATGCTTGGGAGTGTGCTCTCTCTCAAACTTAGATTAGAAGATTATATGCTTCAAGAATCCTGCTGGAGTTTTGGATAGGTAAAATTTAGGATGCCTGGATGTTTGACATTCTAAAATTTGAAGCTTATCTTTCCTACTGTGTTTAAACTGTGGCTGTGTAGATATGCTTTTGGTGGCGCTAGTGGGAAAATACTGCTAATGGGACGAAGGTAAGAATGAGTGTAAACAAAACCAATTTTTTCATGTCAGGTCACATAAGAACATACGTGTGTTTTGCACAAAAGAGACCTTGGGGAAAGTAACCGAGCAACTTACTTCCATGAAAAGCAATTTTAGCCATAGGAGGATGTGCACATTGTGCCTTTTGCCTTTAGATTTTTTTTCTTTTTTTCCCTACAAATACTGACTCACTGATTAGAGAAATCAAGATTTTAAATTTGTTGTTTTCCTAGATTCTATTTACATTTCATGAGCAGACTTTCATTCATACATTGGGCTGTCTCCTTTTCCTCTCTGTACTCCCCAAATCTTCTCCAAAGAAACTCCGGCTCCCTGGAGTAGATTTTGAGAGTATATAGGGCACAAAAGAGAGAATCCATTCTACCAATGGTGTTTTTTCTATTGGTGGATAGACATCTTTCATTATTGGCTTTTATGGGGAAACACTGAATAAATCCATTATAGTGAATGGATCCATTCTCCTTTAATATTAAGTGATTCATAATTTAGTTCAGGGTTTTTGTGGTACAACTATCAATTTACAAATCTTTCACAATGTGCTTTGGGGCATCGCTGTGAAAAATGTAAAAATAAATGGAACGTTTAGCCATCCAAGGACAGGGCAAAAAAATCTGGATCTTAAAGCTTTTACATTTATATTTTCCATTTTAAGAACTTGGAATGAATTGCAGGAAAATGAAGCATTGATTAAAAATTCTTCAATTGTCAATACAGAATTATCTTGCATTATAAGTTTGCCATATTGCTTAATGTATGTTTCATACATTTTCTGACACTTTTCCAAGTTTAGTTACACTATCAGCTACTGCATAGCGTATGGCAGCATGTTTCATGGTTCCTTTGGTGAAAATGTGTAATTGCAATATGTTAAATTAATGGTCAGAACTAGTTCTTGAATACAAATTAAGTAGCAGCTTTCTATTTCACTGCCTTTCAATCAGTCATGATTTTAACACCTCTACTTTAACGCACTGGAACAGTTGTTGGGGTTTTTTGTGATGTGAAAGTCTTTGAGGAACATGACATAAGATGTTTGTGGCAAAGATCAAGTATGCACTCAAACCTTCCTTTTATTTTATTCTAGACCAGATTCCCAGCTGTCGAGTCATAGTTACTCCTCCCTCAATCCTGAAGAGGCTTTTGGAGTCACAATTTTTTTAAAATAAAAGAATGCCGGGGCCGAAAGCCTCTTTAAATTTAGGCACAGCTGGCCAAGAATGGGCTACAGGTCGCTTCATACACCATGATAATGAGAGAAAAGTGGAAATAAAAAGTCTAACAAACTATGAAATGTTTAAAATAGGCAATAGCAAGCGAACACAGGTTAGATTGCTTCAGCATTCCTGAGGCAGTGCAGGGAGATCACCACAAAAGAGTTCATACGCCTGAAGCCTGGAAGATCCAGTTTCTTCAAAAGCAGATTTCAGTGTACGTCATGCTTTAAACTGCACCTTCTGGCTTGACATTTCATGGAATCCCCAAATCCACTTAATACAGCAAGTGTACTATATACACATTCCTAGTGCAACTGCTTCAACTTGTGCACATCTCAAAACCAAGAAGAAAGCTTGTAAAAATTCCATGCCACTCCCCCTTATGTCATCCTGTTGTCTGAAACTGTAGAAGGAATATAGCATCCACTGTGGAAAAAAGGACAAATCCCAAACCACTAAAAATCTGGAAAGTATAAAATTAAATAAAAAGGAAAGCAGCAATTTCACGTGCTGGCCGAGTCTCTGATTCCAGTCAATCTCACAGCAATTAAAAAAAAAAAATCTACTCCCCTACTTTTTCATCCACTGTTCCGGTTCTAAATGCTGGAATGATCATACAGACTATTCTCTCTCAAAATTTTGCCTACTTCTCACTGATGCCATGCTCCCACGCTACCCTCGCTTGCTCCTCTTTTGCACCAGTAGTTGGTTGGGAGATCTTGCGATGCAATGCTCGATATTTTTCATCCTCTTCCAAAATCATTCCTTCTTCATTATCCATGTTTGAGAGACGGGAATGATATGGTTTAGGGGGTAGAGCTGGAGGGTCCATAGTGTCCTGAGGAATGACTCCAGATGGAGCGGAGTGGCTTCGGCATGGCTGGGATTTGAGCGTTTCTAAAACATCAGGCTCTGAGAGACTGTACCTGACAGGGAGGTAGGGTGTCTCTAAGTCTTCATCAGTGTTCCAGGTCTGGCTAGGGACAGAATCCATTGTGTCTGTTCGAGGAGGGGGCTCAGATGAATGGCCAAAATTACTTTCACTTAGTGAAGAAACTCCACTGCTGGCGCTACCAGAAAGGGTGGAATTGCTTCCATCCAGGCCAGACTGGGGACTTGTGGGTGATGCAGGTATTGGGTGAAGAGGAGACTATTTAAAAGGAAAACAAAAAGAGACATACATGCACATGTTAGAACATATAAAGAGTTTCATGTATCTCCTTGGTGAATATTTTTATACAGATTATAGAATATTATTCCTATTTTCTAGATTTTCAGTTCATCTTTTTAAAAGCACATCCTAGATTTTCATTTCAATTAAAAAAAATGTATCTCACCTCCTCTAAGCTTCTAAAATGCTAGCACCTGTTTGTGATGGTAGCAGAATTCCATCTGTATATATTTTGCTGAACCAAAAAATCACAAAAAGTGAAAATGTAACTGTCCATTGGGTAAAAAAAACCCACACAATATCCACAGCTGAACAATGTCTTTATGACTGGGCCAAACAAATGTCCAAAAAACCATGCACATTTTAGAGTCCTGCAGAATACTTTATGGGATTGAATGGTTAAAAGAAATAGACTGCTTCAGAGTCTATCAATACTATTTGAAGCCTGAATCTTAATCCTGATGTGGGAATCTAAATTTCTCATTGTTATAAATCTTTCTTCTATTTGGTATAATTTGGCATGAAGCTACTGAATTTTAGTCAGATAGGTACAATTCTAGGCAACACTGCTTTTTGTTTTTAAAGGTAACTGCTGTTAATTTTATTTCTTGGGGAACTGGGTACAATTTGCATATAAAGTAGAACATTCAGCTTTTGCTCAAGTACGTCAAATTTCAAATGAATAGGCTTGGGAGATGCTTTGTACTAGATTAGCATTTACACATATAAAAGACTGCAAAAATGACACACACATTTTACTATTTTTTGGTAAGCAACATAGAGATGATTCTAGCTAGGAAATCTGCACTATTTGAAGTTTGCAGCAGTGGTTCTTCTATAAGGGGGGTCTTCACATTTTCTTTTAAGGGGGAATTATTCTCTTTTTCTTTCCCTTCCCTTTGGAATTTTGTATGATAGCTTATAAATATAGACCATATATACAGTATGTATATATACATATATGCATACATCACATATATGTCTCTTGCTAAGAAGCCTGAAAAATATTATAAGTTTTGGTGCAAGGACTTGGAAGTTATCATGAACGCAAAAGTAAGGCTTTCTGGTCTTCAATTCAATTGGCAGCAAAGTCACACAAAGTTTACAGCACTTAAAAATGGATAGTGGCCATAAAGCAAACAGTAGCTGAGGTAAATCATTCATAATTTTACAAGCAAGTGCTCAGTGCCGCACCTTTCCAGTTTCTGTAGAACCCAGCAAAAAAAAATCTTGATTTCTCTACTAGCAAAGAGCTCTAGAACAATCCAATCCAGTATTTCAGTATTTCCCCCTCCACCAAAAGCATTATGAAAGGAGAACCCTTAAAAATCATATATTGTGAGCAGCTTCTGGGTGAGGACAATGGCAGACTAAAATGTCTCCGAGGGAGCGGAGGCGATGTTGCAGCGGAGACTGACAGCTAGGCCTGGGCCAATGGAGCCTCTCCAGAGAAGGAGAGTCCAAGAGTCATCCACTTGTGCTCCAGATGGTTGCTCCTCGTGAGGAGACCACAAGATTGCAGTCAACTCATGAGTCAAAATACCAGGAGCCACAGGAAAGACATTAAGCTCAGTTGCAGTGGAGCCTGTAAGAACAGTCTGCTAAAACCTCAGTTTCTTAAGCACATTTGAAATACAATTACATCAGAGCTAAAAGAGATCTTTGGAACAGCAGTTAAAAAAAAAAAACATTCCGATGAGTGATACTTCATTCCAGATTAAAGAAAAGAATAAAATAACAATTTAAAGAATTTAAGATAAATGCCAAAAAGCTTAACAAGAACTTAACCTAAGAAAGTTTAAAATGGATTAAGGGGCCAGTTAAATTTGAAATATTAGGATTTTTATTAAAGTGTTCTTAAAATAATTAAATCAATAAAATACTACCTTTGTGAGTAGACAGACTGTTTAGAGTTCTAGTGGAAAGGCAATTGGACTTTGCAAAAGAAAGAGATAAAAGAAATCTGAGACAAATCATGTGACCATAGAATTATGGAATGCAGAAGGGATCACAGACTTAAGGACTAGAGAAAGGCGAAAAAGAAAAAAAAGTCTCCTTTTTACTTCTACTTTTGTACCTGATGAAATGGCTGTTATTAGAAAAGTAGTGAAACCTACAGAAATGACTGAAAAAGACATCACACAAGACATTTCAAAAGATCTATGAGGAGTTGGGAAAGAAGGTTACAGCTACAATAACAGCCTCAGTAACTGCCTATGTGAAAGCATTATTTAAAAGAGATCTGAAAGAGGAGTTAAAAGTAGAGACAAAAAATAATCTTGAAGAATTTACAGGTCAGCTGAGTGGAGAGGTAATTCAAAGTGAAGTCGAGGTGGAAATTTTGGAAAATAAAACAGAGATAATAAACAGGGGAGATACAAACATTATGAAAAATGATGTGGATAATGGACTACTATCAGATTTACAAGAGAAAGGAGGATTTACAGAACAACTTGATGAAAATAGTAAGGAGAGGGCTGTTGAAGCCTCAATATTTTTTTTTAGGATGGGCAAAAGAAAATATGGATGGAGATCAAGTCCTACAGTACAATACTTCAATGTCAAGTTAAGGATTAACAAGGTCCGACTACTAGGCAAGAGCACAGAATATAAAATTGACTTGTTTGATTAGAGATAGAGATAATAAGTACTTTTATAAAATACTGGAAACCTTTTATGGACTTTTTGCTGAAACTGGACAGAACTGTCACTGATTTTTGAGTAAATGCTAGAGCTGTAAGTCTTAATATCATACACAGTCATCTCCCTCCCATTGCACCCAATCTGGAATTATCCAAACACGGAAAGCTTGGGAATAAATGTATCCCTTTTGCAGATCTGTGTCTAGGATTCCTTGAAACATAGTTTGAAGATTTGGAGTTTGATTTAGATACCTCCCAAATTTCTGAATCAACTAGATTTTATTCAGGAATGGGACTCAGTTGAATCTGAAGCAAATCTCTAATTAAGACTTAATCCCTGAGCTGTGCCTGAAAAGGTTTAAGAAGTAACTGTTCCAACATGGGGCGATATGCTAGTGCATGCTGGCCAGCTCCTATTTCTGAGCCATGTTCTAGGGTCACCTCATGGATAGTGTATTGCAACAATCCATCCCTGTAGCTAACCAGTGCTTCTTTCACCAGTGCCAGGTCTGTCTCTTCCAGGTTGGAGCACAACTAGTTTGTCAGTGAAAACTGATACAATGACTATCTGGCTGTGCTAGACTGAACTCCTGAACTGCAAACCTGTTCCTTGGACAGCATGGCCCCATCCAGAACAGGCACTATGTGCCAATTCTGAAGTCTAGCTTCTGTCATCAGCAACAGAGGTGAAGTGGGCCCCTACCCTTCCAATTTTTTGGAGGGAACTGAAGATTTGGCTCTGCCAACTTGTGTGGGGCGAGGAAAGATACAACTGACCCTGGGGATGGCTGGCGCCTTGACAACGCTCCCTGAGTTTATTAACACCTAATTAACACCAGCCTCTTGGAAGTATCATACAGGAAGTTTGTTTTCTAGCATATTTTAATTAATTAATTTTTATCTATTTTAATGAATGTTTATTCTGTTTTTACTGTAAACTGCCCAGGGTCACTCTGTAGTGAGATGGGCAGTGACAAATTTGAAATATAAATAAATAAATAAAACATCTCAGTTTTGTCCAAATACAGCTTCAGCTTGCTATCTCACATCAGTCCTGTACAGCCTGGAAACAAGCAGAGGCTCTTGAAATATCCAAAACTGAATTTGCACTCTACTGGTAGCAACTGGCTCAAAATTCAACAGTTTCATATAAAATGGGAGACAAGATGGAGCCATTCAGGACCCCCTTGCCACCACAATACCAAATGTCTCTCACATTCTGATAACACCTATAGTAGTAAGAGCAAAAACACTGCAAAGAGGTGCCTCTAACTTCCAGTTCCCTCAAACATGTCAACAGGATGCTGTGATCAATGGTATCAAAAGCTACTGAAAGATCCAGGAGTACCACAGGATTGCAATTCTCCTGTTGCATTTGTCTTATCTATCAAGATGGCCATTGTGATGATATTTTGCTAAAGCTGTGTCTGAATTCAGAATGGAGAAGATCTAAATAATCAATTTCCTTTAAAGATTCCTGGAGCTATAGTTCCTGGAGCCATTGCCTTCTCCACCAGACTGGCAAAATAAAGATTTCTGGATACCAGCTTATAGTTATTAAAACTAGTCAGATCCAGAGGTGACTTCTTAAGGATGTCACCAATGCCTCTTTTAATGTTGTGAGGAAACCATCTGCAAAGAGAAGTGTTAATTATTGAAAGGATAGACACCTTGGAAGTCCTTAAAAACCAAGCCAGGGAAGGCTCTAACATGCAAGATGCAAACCAATCCAAGGACCTTATCTATTTCCTTGAGTAATTTTCCTCAGATGTTATTGAATCTCTTAAGTATGGTACTCTCCAAAGAGGCATCCAGGCTGGCATGGATCCAAGTGATTTTATCCATGAAGAACCGTGCAAACCTCTCACAATGGCACTTATATATTATGAGGTCAGCAGTCAGAATCATCAAGGACCACATCATTCACTGAAGAATTCTATTGGACTATTTTCCACACCACATTAGTGGAATTAATCAGTTCTTTTCTGATTACCACAATATAACTTTTATCATGGTACCTATGCCATATCCAGTTAAATACATCCCTAGTCTTATGCTTCAATTACTCAAACTGCTTGTTCTCATATGTCATTGGCCACAGATTCACTGCACACATAATCACTCACTATTTTATACAATGGAGCACTATGGGTCCTGATATGGGTCTGGGAATGCTTGGGAACTACCATATCAGTGCATTGGGGACTTCATTATTCCATATCTCAATCAAGATGTTGATAAAACAGTTGATCAGGTTTGAGAAAATTTCCTCAGAAATGCCTTAAACCCAACTGTTAGTTCAGAGGCAGGCCAATCTAACCTGGTTCCCATTGCAGCAATGGGATTAGTGCTAATAAAAATTATTATTACTATGGTCCAGCTAATTCATGCCTCAATTTTTAAAATAGTTACCAACAGAATAATTAGTTAGGTTTTATCCCCCAGCCCCGGATCAAAACAGCTGATTGCTTTTTATGTGCCTTGAAACTTACCATACTTAACCATCCAGGATGGATTCTACCTCCAGGGAAAGAGAATATACAATTGAAAGGAGGACTATATATTTTGAGGGTCCAATTCCCATTAAGCCCCAAGAACACTACCCTATTTATCTTATTTAACTGGTCCCTTCAGCTTTGTTGATACAAAGATTGTGATGTTCTTTATTACTGCTCTTTGCCAGGCCAAGGTACATCACCCATGACAGAAGGAACAACAGTCTTTATGATTTCAAATCTAGAGGGACAATCATTTTCATTGCCCTTGAATGCTAAGTGTAATTTGAAATCAACAACATCTAATACTGTGGATTTAATCCACAGCCCCTATTTTGAGAGTTACTTTGAAATGCACTCCTTGTAGCTAAAACAGCTGGACTGTTTTGAACTTGTCTTACTTCTCCATTGCTTGCTTATTATGCCTGATGAATAGATCTGCAGAACATGAAAAGTTGATGTTTTGGTGCCATTTTGGTTTGTTCTAATAAAGATATCACCCAACTATGTGGTTTGGATAGAAAGGAGGACCTAGTTCATATAACTATAAGGAAATCTCAGAAAGTGCAGCTGTTTTTCATGATAAGCGTATCTATCAAAGTGCTCTCTTCTCTTCAGTTATATTTAAATAGAATCTCTCTTTTTCTTTCTTTATAATAGCCCAATAGCCCAACAGTGGGCTATTTCCTTTCCTAAGCACCTGGGGTGATTAACTATCTCTTTTTGAATTGATATGCTTGAATAACTGAAAATGAAAATACATGCTAAGAAAAGGTGTATATAATCAGTGTTGTCTTAAATTTTCATCTAAATTTAGAATATATTTTATATCACTTCCGTTGGTCTTGAAAGCCCAGCTCAGTAGCAAAGATAATCCCTTTTCCTTTCCTAGTATCAAGCTAGGAGGAAACTTTGGACTCATCCTCTCACACTAGCCTGGGAACTAGATAATAAAGCAAAAATTGGACAGAATTTAGATTACAATTTAGATAAACTTGTTCAAGACAAACAGCTCATGTAAAAGAACGAACAGGAATGTTATTTTTTTTTCTTTTGAGCATCCTGATTATTTGTTTCATTCTATCGCAACTTATTCTCAAATACCTCCGGAGGCCCTTGGATAGCTTGCAGGGCTTGTATGTGTTTCTCCTAGGGATACTGATTTTTGCTTTTGATCTCTCCAAAAACTAGGCATAACAGGTACAGTATATCTTAAAATTCTAATTTAAGCAATACCAGGGCGATACAAATACGACAGAGAACTGATATCAATAATGTATTTGTTTTATATACCACTCTTTCTCCAAAAGAAATGAGATATAGTTAACTGACTGGATAGAAGGCTCTGAACCATGACAAAATATTTACCTTGCGCAGTGTCCGTGCAGGCAGCGCTGGGGGAGCATCATTAAGATGATGATGGAAGGCATCGAAGTGTAGTGAATAGTGACCTTATGGGAGAAGTCAGGGCAGAATCACTGTTCTGTTCGTAATTCTTAATTTGTGCAATACTGGTTAAAGCAGATGTTAATCCTGACAGCACAACACTGGCTTTCAGAAATCAATGTTTTTACATAGTAACATACAATGTTTTTAATAAACACAAAATAGAAATAAAAAGTAAAGGCAGCAGAATTTTACCAACGGCTGATATTAATTATATCAAGGCTCCCGTGGCAAGAAAACAGGCTCATTAGCAATGAAGATACAAAATCACAATTACTTTTTAGCACTTGATTGTCCTTGGAAAGATGATAAAAATCTCTAAATAAATAATACTTGTTTTAAAAAATAATTGGACCTCAGTATATATTTATAGATTAAAGTCTTCAGCAAGACATCAAGTTACCTTAGATCACTCAAAAGTCTAATTCCAGTCCCAAAGCACATTCACAGCCCTGCTGAAGTTTTCAAGATTTAGGTAACTGTCAGCCAAGAGAACCAGGAAAATATTTTCTTCCACAAATTCCCTTTCTTTTTACAGAAGACATACTGATGTCAGTGTTGGCCTTTACGTGATTTATTTGGGCATCATTGTAGGATTTTTCTGCAGACCCCCTGACCATTTCCTTACCATGGGTCAGGCTTCGGGGAGGCACTGGTGGGACCAGGATGCTCCCAACATGAGCAGACAGGAATGGCAAGGCCTCTCTGGTTCCGCTGTCCAGACTCCAGCTGCTTGGTGCTGCTGAAACAGCTGAAGGATGGAAACAGATTGAATTTGGGTAATATTGAAATACAGGTTTTATTGGGACTTGATAGGATTGAAGGCTGACATTTTTATTTTCTTCAGTCTCTCTGGAGTATTTTGGGACTGGCTCCATGCTGTTAGATATATTCATCTATGAAGGTCAGTAGCAGATGAGAGGAAACAATTTTTTTTTTAATATAAAGAACAGAACAACTTTGAAAACCAATGATATATATTTTAGACTATAGGAGTTGTTGTTTGTTTTAAAAAGCAAGATTAAAAGAAGCAAAAAATGAGGAAATGTCAATACAGTATGCGCAACAGAGCCTGTTACTGTGCCGCGATGACCAAGATAAGGAAAGGTTTTTCATAGCTTCAAACTGTTTTTCTTTAATTTTCTCAGGAATCATGACACTAAACAAACAAACAGTATTTCACCAAATAAAGTTTATGCTGTTACATAATTACATTCCAAATTAGATCTTTCCTAAAAAACTTGCTTTAATAACTATCCACAACATTTTTCATTGATCATGTCTGAAGAATCGCTGCTTTCATTGCCAAACAACAAGCACAATCTTATTGAAGGGGAATCTGATACAACACATTGGCCAAAGTCTCGTATATCAGCACTTTCTCACTTGAAGGAGAGTACTATAGTTGAAAAAGAAAAAGATGACAATTTGCAGCCTTAGAATCAACTCCATTTTCACCACCAGCAGGGAAAGCCCACTTTTTAATCAAAATACAGTCATTGCTTTCCATTTTAGATATACCCTGGTTTTGAATCATGAGTAATGATGATATACGAGAGTATTTTCCTTTTTTTACTTTTATTAGTGGGATTTTAGTTTTAATGCCAATGGACTCTTGGCAAAAAAAAAAAAAAATTGCTTCCTATTCCTGTTTGTTAGGTCTGTAGACTTGTACCATGTTTGGGTTTCTATTAATATTTTCTACTCCAAATACGCAGCAATTTTTATGCTCCTGTCATGAGTAAGCTGTTGTTTGCAGACTTTGAAGCAATTTTATTTTATGTTATCTAAAGGTAGAAGTGAAATGTTTTTAGATCTAGTATGTTAGATCAGCGACATACTCTACCTTTTATTTATATAAGGCATTTTTTGATGCCCAGTTTTCAGTAATATGAATGCAACAAAATGTATTTGATCCCAAAGATAATTTGAGACAATTTTTTTAATGTCTATAATTTTTTTGTTTAACTCTGTAAGTTAGATTCCATAGTTCAATTGTCCCAAACTCTATTTGTCAAGTTTCTTAACTGCAGAACATGATTAAGGAAGCAAGATTCATGTAGATTTTCTTAATGACCTTTAAGGCCAAGAATTAAGGATTAGAGTGCAGAATCTTGAGAACTTAGATAATAACCCTCCAGCCCTCCTTTATTAGTGACTTCAGTAAGGTAAGGTCTCTGAAACTTTTTTCCCCTCAAATCTTTGCATGGTGGACTAAGAGTCTATTTATTTGATGCATCTGTGATGAAATCTCCCATCTGCTGATTGTGTTTAGAGATACTCCTCTTTCTTTCTCAACCTCAGCACAATCTTTTACACCTTCAGATACCATTTCTGTTTTCCGGCTCATTTGAAAATCTCTTGTTTGCTATTGGAAAACTGATTTTAATTGCTTATTTATAATGGAGGATTAAATGGTACCATTTCATAGAACAGCTACCAATATGATTGCTGCCTAAGAATACAAAATTCAAAATAAATAATAATTTATATATAATTTATTGTAAACTTAATGTTGGATCTATAATTTGCATCTATGAGCCTTTTGGCCACTAGGACCAATGGCAAGAAATTTCTTTACCCACTGTCGCTGCATCTGTCTCTCATCTGCACTATTATTAGCAAAGTAAGTCCTCTCTCTTTTGTCTTTCTCTCTCTTCAAAATGCAGTTCAGATAGGAATGAGGCTTTCCTATCCAATGTATTTCTTAATAAATCTACTTTATTTACTTAGTCCAAGCATGAATGATTGTTAACTCTCATACAATGAGAGTTAACAATCATTCATACCTGGACTAAGCCTATATTCTGTGTCCAAGACAAGTATATTATGAGCATTTCTCTTTTTGAATTGAACCTGCTGGTTTATTGCTCAGTATTCTTTTAACACTCTGCATATGCTCGGAAGCATATCCTTTAAGGATCACCCACACTTCATGTTTTCCTTGGTTAATATAAAAGCACTTCTGATGGATATTAAAACAGGCACTCATTATTTATTCATTTATTATTCAGTACTTCGATCATAACATATATTTCATGTTCAGCTACTTTCCATCACTTGAATAGTCTTATGATTAAATTTAGTATATACATGAAATAAAACATAGTGTTTTAATAAATTGTATGTTTACTCTGAGAGTAAATTGAATGTTTACTCTGAGATATGGAAGACTGCTAATAAAATCCAAGGAAATTTTGTCCCATGATCCTGCAAGGGAGAGGAGCAGCTGGAGCAAACTGGCCAGCTTAGCAGTGACAGCCTTAGTTTATCAGCAGACGTCCAATGTAATACAAGAAGACCTTCATTCCCATTATTGTTAATTTTCCTTCCCTTCCTCTCTCACAAGCCTGATGCATGCTTCCCAAATCTTTTCTATATTAATCCTATGGAGAATTCAGGAATACAGGGAAATGGGAGGAAATCAATTTATGAATAGTGAATATTCTACTGTGTTAGTATTTTACTTAAGTACCTGGAAACCTGGAACGTCGTTCTACCAGAACAAAGGTGAACACAAGAACGTGTACCTTGAAAGCCCATATTATCAGGGCATCTGCAGCAAGCCAAGATTCCATCAAAATCTGATGGATAAGGTGTGTATTGTGATATTACAATACAAACTCTCCCTCCTACCTATTGATGTGGGACGTCACAATGGAAGTGCAAAAGGTGCACAATGCACATTTAATAATTTCCTCCTGCCCAACGCCCCCTGCAAATAACTTGTGCATATTACCTACAGCAGATGGGTAACAGATAGCCACACTATCTGTTGCATGATTCAGTATATAGTAATTAGATTTGTCAGTATGAAAGTTCTGTTTGATTTGTTTTTGCTTTAAACCATTGTGTATCCCTTTATCACAAAATCAATCAATCAGTCAGAAGTTAGAAACTTGATAGGTTTTGGTGATTTCATAACTATGTATCTTTTCAACTGGTTGGGAAAAGCTTTTCATTTATTTTGAAAAATCTGATACGAACATATTTTTGTTTATATGGATTAGTGATTTCATTTGCTCCTAAGTGATGCTTTATAAAAATATTTCCTTAATACTTGGTTCTATGGGATATTATCTTGGTAAAAAAGTGTGACATATAAACTAGCCTTAATAGATTGGTGATAAGATAATTTTGTATCAGCATAAAATGAAATACTATTAATATCAAACGTACAAAACAAAAACAGTAATTTAATGTGCTGTATAAATGTATGTGTGTGTGTGTGTGTGTGTGTGTGTATGTGTATATATATATATATAAAAAATTGAGCGAACAATACCTTTTTCAGCAACAGACAGATTAGGATCACTGCAGGGTTTGCATGGTCCAATCACCTGCTGGAGCAAGGCTCTCTGGAAATTTGGATGCTAGGAAAGATAAAATGCAATACAGGACTATTGGAAAAAAACCTATTACATATTACAAATTCAGAATCTTAGGATTAATGAACCAAATTTCCTTTTTGCAATGAAAGATCTCATTCAAGTTATTACCACCTAATTTTTTTTTTGTTATAAACTGGATTTGCACATCATATTCAGCTATCAAATGGTTAAATAGCAAATGCATTTATCTTAGAAATTCCTGTGGTGATGGCAAAGGGCTGAAGTTGAACCCAAGCAAGATAGAGATGCTATTTTTTTCAGTGAGGTTCTCTCTCAACTCTGGTGTTATAACTCAAAGAGATGACACTGCCCCTGTGGGAGCAGGTTCATGATTTGAAGTCTTCCTCGATTCATAGCTTCAGTTGGATGGGCAGATGGAGGCCTCAGTGAGGTGGCCCTTTGCCAAGCTTTGGCTGGTGCACAAGCAGCAGCCTGCCTGGAGAAAGAAGACCTTGTGACAGAAACTCACTTGTGCTCTCATTGCAAGCCAATTAGATTACTGCAATGCCTTCTACATGTGGCTGCTTTTAAAGACTAATGAAAAACCAGTTGGTACAACATGCAGCAGCCCATGTAGTAACTGGCACTAGATGTCATGAGCACAACTTTGTGTTCTGCGCCACTTGCACCCATTCCTGGATCGTGAGACTCTGCTCACAGTTACTCACACCCTGCTCCTCTCCTGGGTGGACTTACTGTAACATGCTCTACATGTGGCTGTCCTTGAAGAGTATCCAGAAGCTTCAGCAGGTGCAAAATGCAGTGGCATGGGCAGTTATGGGTGTTCCTAGAAAGGCACACATTATACCTCTGCTCTGTGAGCTGCACTGGTTGCCAGTTTGCTTCCGGGTGCAATTCAAGGTGCTGGTTTTGACCTTTAAAGCTCTACATGGCATGGGGCCAGGTTATATGAGGGACTATCTCTCCCCAATTACTTCTACTCGTCCCATTAGGTCCAGCAGGAGAGGCATGCTGCAGATCCAGTCTGCTAAGGAGTTCCATCTGATGGGACCCAGGAGAGGAACCTTTTCTGCTGTGGTGCCCGCCCTTTGGAACATCATCCCCCCTGACATGAGGTTAGCCCCAACACTTATGGCCTTTGGGAAAGCCTTCAAAACATGTTTTTTTCATCAGGCCTGGTAATCCCCTGACAGCAGAGAGCTCGTGCATTGGTTGCACCATGTATAACATCTGAATTAATCCTCTCACAATCTTGTTTTTACTTATGTTAATTATTTAATTGTTCTAACTGGTTTTTATATTTGGTTTTAATAGTTGCTTGTACTGTATGCCACTCAGAGTCACCTTGTGTGAGATGGGCGGCCATATAAATTTGATAAATAAATAAATAACACTTGTGCTGCAGGCCCTGCATTAGTGGCCAATGGTTTTCCAGGGGTAGTTTAAATTGATGGGTTTAACTCATAAAACTATATACGTCTTGAACAGTGGTACTTTCAACACTGCCTATTTCAACCTCAGCCTGCCTGGGATATTATATTTATATTTAAATAATTATAAATTAAAAGCAGTAAGTGACAATATACTTTTGCTGATAAGTAGTGGAAGTCTTAAATCCTCAAATTCTGTAAGTTCTTTCTGAGACATTTCGGGGTTTTTTGCAAAATTCTGGCTGTTTTCTTACAAATAGGAAACCATGCAATCTATTTCTTCTATCAGCATTCACTAGATAAACGCTTTTAGGAAAGAGGATCTCTCTTTCTAAATTATCGATGGTAGTTTTAATAAGATGCTGAATAAAAGAAAATAGCTGATGGTCTTGCTAAAGACAGAAGAGTAATTATGACATGAAGGAAAACTTCAAACATGTACTCTTTTTGGAGATGGGAGTACCTTGGCTTCTCAGCAGGAAAAGAACCTTCTTTTCCTCTAGATATATGGTTACAGTGGAACTGCCCTAATACAACTATAGAGGTGGTTTCCATTATTGGGAATTCTCACCTTGCTCCATTTCCTGGCTCTCTGGATTTCCCTCCCTCACATCCCCGGAATCAAGTATCACAGTGCCTTGCAAGGATGACTTCCCTATCCTTCCAGATGGATTTGAGGAGCAGCTTTGCGTCCCTGTCAAGTGACTTCATGATGTGGCAAGAATAAGGAAGGGGTGGTGGCATTGCCTGCTGACTTTCCTCCTACCATTAATGATCAGGTAAGAGCTGTGACTGTGGCAAGGATGGCAGAGAAGACACTTGTGGGACCTTGCAGAAGCTCTTCTGATAGCTTGAAAGAGTGAAACCAATGGCTGTGTAGAAAGAACACTGTGTAGAAAGACTGGCTGATAGCAAAATATATATTAAACATATCCTTTGCCCAAATCAGGAAGGTAGCAAATCTCCTCTATGTATTTTTTAAAATAACTCCCTTCCTATGTACAGGAAAATGTTTTTTATGCTAATTGTGTCACAGCTGGTATAATCCAAGATATCTCACAAAGATACGCACATACATGCAGGTGTGCACATGCACACCCACACCCACACCCACACCCACATTTACCTGTCCATTTTCCATGATAGCTGCAGGATACATAGCACTGCTAGGCCGATCCCGGTGTGCTGGTAGTAGCATCATTAATTCTCGATGATGACGGTACTTATCTGGTAGAGAGGGAGAGCCTGTAAACAAGTCAGAACAATCACGTACACATGACAAAACACAAAAGATTCTCTTTCTCCCAGTTATTTCATCTTCCTGAGACATATGACTGACAAACATTTATAAAATTCCAGATATAAGATGGCAATGAGAGAGTGGTTAATTAGATCATTGATTCATGTGAGGTGATGAGGAATCTTTTGGTGAACAAGGATGACATTTAACATTGGCAGAAAATGACCAACTGAATGAAACCACATCAGACATGGAGATAAGAGTGGAATTTTTAGAGGAAATTGGAAGTTATATTATAAATGTGATATACCCTTTTAGAGCCTACACCACACAATGGCATGGAATTATGCTATCAGTTTTCATCAAGTTGTCAGAGGGGGTTTGGGGGGCATAGAAAAGGAACTGAAGGACCACATACAGACAATCTCTGTTTTAATGTAATATTTGAACAAGAGCATAACCTCAAACTGATGAACCTAGAGCATACAGGATAATGAGTCAGTGAAGCGATTCTGTAAGCCCATTCTTACTGAAATAAAAATTTATCTGGCACATCCACCAGTATTAGCACTGATGGCAGTGTGACTGTCTCTGAAGGCCATCTCCTTGGAAAACTACTTGTTTTCTTGTGCTGTTGGTTGGCCACTGTGAGAACAGACTGCTGGATGAGATACGCCAGAGGTCCAATCCAGCAGGGCACTGCTTATGTTCATATTAGTTGCCTTTCCACATTTATATTATTTCATTTGCAAAAATATGAACATTTGACTGAATACGTTCAGCTTCAGCAAATATTTATACATCTCATGCAACAAAAATAAAGTCAGGGCTATAAGCTCAAAGGAAACTGATTTTCTAAAAAACAAGTAGTTAAGAAATTTATCTGAAAATATTAAAACATTGGTTTATATCCAATTGTATCTGTCTACTGACAGAATGGCATCTAGCGAGCATAGAAGCCCAATAGCATGTATGGCCTTTATCAATTTGCATCTTCTCAAATCTGTTCCAGGGGGTTGTCAATATACCATAACACCATAAGAGGCTAGATTCTTCTTTAGATTTGCCATTTTGGTTGAAGTTTGTTGGAAAATTGCAGTTTTTCTACTCTTCAAAATTTATGTTGAAGTGTATAGCTTTCCAAAACTTGAGCTGGGAAAACTGATTACAGCGCTCCCCAGTCTCCCAAATGGATTAATGTAAAGAACTTGTGGAATATTTTAAAGATACTTATATTGTCTTTAATTTATGGTTAGGTTTACCATAAACATGTTCTTCAAGGATAAAGGGAAATGAATTGAACAAGTATGCTTGCTGCTAGGGCTATTACTGCCCCTTGATAAATTTTCCAGAATTACTAATATCTCAGTCATTTCAGCGCACATGTTTAAAGCTGATATGGCTTTCCCATCAACAGAAGTATAGGATGCACATTATAGTAATACATTAATCACTAATATAGGTGAAAACATTAAACTTGCAGCACTTTTTCTCATGTTCAAAAATACACAACAAATGCTTAATTGGCAAAGCATTTTCACAACATATGACGCAAACAGTTTGAACACTGAATCACTCACAATATTCATTTAAGTAAACATTTCATGTTTTTCTACTCATATGCACATCAAAGACAATGTTGGTGCATATATGAATGAAATATTGAACTTTCTGGAACATCAGAAATTGTATAATGGCACACTGAATGTTACAGATCCCTCCTCTTTATCCTATTCTTCTCATATTGTTTCCCAAATGCAGCCGTAGATATTATGTATCATAAATTTGAGAAAACACATGGCTCTAAGACAATTACTGCCTTGACATAAACTGTAAAATGTAGCTGTGCTGCTTTTGGTGTCAGCATTGGCGGCTAGTTTTCTCTGTGTCTGTTTTCTTAATCATTTCCTGTTCACTGATTCTGAAACTACTTAAATAAGAAAGAGGAAAGAGGTGTTTTCTAAATAAAAGAAACATGTGAAAAGTAATATTATAAATAACAGAACTTTGTAAATCCTATCTATTTGGACAAGGTTTTAGAAATATTCTCTTACTAGGGAAAACAAACATTTTTTAAAATTATCATGCTTAATTTAACAGTGAATGGAGTATCTCAGTTACTTGCTATCAGATGTTTGTGGATAGCTTCCCAGATATATTAAGCTGAAAAATTCCTGTTTGGATGCTTCATAAATACATACATCTCTGATCCTACAAAATACCTACTTCAGGTATCACATTTAAACTGACATACTGCAAAAAAAGCAGCACACTCACATTTAAATGGGAAGGAATGCTCAGTCTTTTAAAGTTGTAAATAGAATGGTGCACACATAGGAATAGAATGGCTGTTTGACCCATCAACAATGATATCAGAGGCATTTTTCAGTTGATACCTTTCACTCTTTGTCAATCACATAGTTCCTGTATTGCAATACCTGAATTATCAGGGAAGCAGTTTTCTCATCAGTGAAATACCAAAACTTAGTACAAAAATAATATCAGATCATTACAACAGATGTCTTTGATAGAGATGTTGCATAGATTTAATAATCTATTTGTTGTACACTAAAATTTGCAACTGGAAATGGGCTATCTTGGTAATTTTGTTAATACCACTGGACTAGCATCTGGAAGAAGTGCTTTTAGCCTTAAGGACATTTTTCTCTGATGATGAGACTTGCTATATAATTAGAATACTTTCTTCTTGGAGTTTTGAATTTACTTAGCTAAATCTGATTAAATCAAAATGCTTACTCAGGGCTTATGTACAATCAACATTTGCTATTTTTAATTAAATTTGGTTCTGGATATCCTGCTTTTCTTGGGACCCCTCCCTCCCGAATAAAATATAAAAATTACTCTTGGTACTGTGGAGTGGCTTGCCCTGCCAGTGTTGGTGGGGGTGGGTTTTTTTTTTTCTGGTAGTTCCTTGATTAGGGTATTAATTAATTAATTGATTGATTAGGGTATTAATTAATTAGGGTATAATACCCTAATCAAGGAACTACCAGGAAAAAAACAACACCCCCACCAACACTGGCAGGGCAAGCCACAGTATATAAACAGAGAGCAAACCCCACTCCATTCTAGCACTGAAGATGTGACCTAGCCGGGTAATGAAACGTTTGCAAGAAAAGAACCAAGCTCAGAAAACCCCAAGGACTCCACAGTTCAATCCTCA